GCTCCACGCGCACTTTATTTTTCGATTTCGATCTGGGCTCCCCTCACGACCTTCACATACGTTCTCTCGTCCTCGTCCAGATCATCGGAATATATACGGACAAACGAACGCTTTTTTTGAAATTGTGTAGTCCATGGTTGTTAAGATGTAACACCCTCGGTGTTACGCCTTAATCAGAATATTAAATCATGTCATGAGCATCATGTTTATGTATTATTGCATGTGGTAAATGAGAAATTAAATTTTATTGCACTAATTCTCAAATTGAGCTCTAATTTATTCCTTGTCCAAGTTGTCCTTCCAGCACGTCATCTCTCTCCACGTGAGAGCTTCTTAGCCACAAAGTCAAATGATAAATTATTGTCATTCACTAATTATTAGCATACCACTTGGCAAGATTTATATCTCCATCAATCTCGCGACACGCCTCTGTCATCTCTCGTTGTTCTAATTATCCCGCCTTTACTTCGCTTGCTAATCGCCTTGCAAAATTATCAGCGCACGTCGCGCTGTCGCTGCCTTAATGTGTCGCACACGCTACGCATTAATCTCACTCACAAGTTCGATCGGTGAGCATGCCGCTCGCTCACTACTCTACAAACACGGTGCATGAATCCTTTCCTCACGCAGAACTGTAGCAGCATGAGTTTCAAACATGTCAGAACCGGTACCAGAGCAGATTTTCAACACGCCGTAATTTGCAAAGAGCAGAGATTTTCCCAACAAAGACCGCAAAGAACGCGAAATTTCGAGTAGCACAAGTAAACACGGTTCATCGAGTCTTGCACGTCTTGCACGTCGGACAATGCAAGAACAACGCAGAAAAAAACTGTTCACGCAGTGAAACACTGTTCACGTGGAAACACTGTTCACCCGAGAAAAATGTCTCCCGGCCGGATGCTTTTGACCGTGGTCTTCTCCTCCGTTTAATCTGTTAGACCTGCATGAAGGCATCAGCACCATGCATGTATCGTTCATCTTTCATTCATGTACTAGCTCCTGCTAGTATATACTCACACGATGATCGGTCATATCCATGCAACAAGCACGGCGTGTTAATTGAAAGGCTTGCTAATTGTGCATTCGCCATCCTTCATCTCCGCTTAGCGCAATGTTGGCAACATTGTAGCTATATCCATCGACAATTATTCGCATGGTTTGGATCAAATAAGTCTTCATCTCTACAGCTAAAACTTTAAAATATATCTCTACACGGCACTTTGGCCACCCCACCCGTCGCGACACGGTATGTATGCTCGCCTTCACATTTGTCTCGCTTTCAGCAAAGACTTGATCGATGGATAGGACACGGCAAGCATCATCGAAGTTCAGAATCTCCTTTCACATTTATGTCGGGCTGCTGATCACAAACACAGCCTGAAGGCACTGGCTCTGCTCTGACTTGTTAGGTGACGAAACACTGTTCACCCATTCCTCACGCATCCATCATCGGCACGGTAGCGGTACGAGCATGACTGACCGTGACCGCGTGCAACGAGCCAGCTTCTCCCTCCCCGCGTCTTTTGCCTTTATAAGGACATGCCGAGCCATCGAGTTGTTCCGCTCCACTGATCATTCACTTCTCTCAAATCAAGTAACCAGCATCTCACATCCGATTCACCGCTTCGTGTTCTACCTTTTCCAAGAACACGCAAAGGTGCGAATAGATCAGTTGGTTAATCAAGCTAATTGGCCTCCTCCGATAATATCGTTTTCTTCATCTCTAGAGCTCATTTGAATTTATTTATTGATTGTGAAATTTTTTTTTGTTAGATTCCTAAATTCATGATCTATCTGTTAGTGTAATTAGTTCGTATAGTTCAGTGATACCTTTAGGGTTACTTTATTATTTTGAAATGCTCGCTATGATTATTTAGAGAATAAATTTTTATGATGCATGGTAGCTAGTGCACTTTGTTTTATTATATATATATAGTAAATTGATATTAACAATAAGGATGCCTTTAGTTGCTAAGATAATACATGAAATGTTTCATACTTGTTTAGTGGGAATAATAGGTAACTTTGCGTATTAGTCATTAGAGTTAGCTTAGTAGCTTGGTAGATGTATTCTTATTTTAAGAGTTGCGGTTGCCTATATATTAATTATTGCATCATCATCATCTTTGCATGCATATAGAGGACGAACCCTTTGGAGATCGTGACATTCATGAAAGGAGGAGTACGACGAAGTCATCGAAGAGTACGAGGAGATCCTCTCGTGAGGAGGAGGACGTTCCGAGCCACCCGTCATTGACTTTTTTTGTCACCGCTTTTGCCCAAAGGCAAGCCCCGTGCATAACCCTATTTTTAAATGATCCGAATATATTTATATGATATGCATTTACGTTACGGGCATTTTATGGAAGCTACATGCATAAATATATCCACCATGAGTCCTACTAGTATAGATCGAGTAGTTGCTATGCTCGGGATGTCGGTAGCGTGAGTAACCCGTCGTTACTCGCAAATAGGTGTTTAAACTGTGATATCATGATGAAATAATGGAAAGGAAAATGGTGACCGGACGGGGATGTGGATTTGGTACTTGGTGGGTGTGAGGGGTTGTGTCCTCATGCCAATGTGGCATAGCCCCGGTTACTTTTTTTCCCTCGCTGTGTCGATTAAGGACCGGTCGTTACATATGACTCTAGGCAAGTCACAGATTATTGTCCCGAGCACATACTTGGGTATGGGGCGCTAGGAAGGCTTGTTGCTCTCTTGTCGCGGATCCGGCTCTTTCCGGACCGGTGATGGGAAGAGGAGGTGGTGGAGGTCCTTGCACCGCAGACCGAGTCCGGGACTCAGGATGTGGGGCTTGAGTCCAAGTTTGGACGGGACACGGACACCGGGACGGGAGAGTGGTGGGTTAGTCCTGCTTGTGCACAGGGTACAAGCGGGCGCAGTGTCTTGGGGCACCCAGTGGGCACATTGATTCGCGAATCGCCGGGTTATCCAAGACGGCTTGTCTGCGGTTTAGCACCGTAGTAAGAACTGAAAGTTGAAAGGAGAAGAAATGGAACGATTGCTCAACTCTTGCTTGAAAGTAGAACAGGCTTATATAGATTGACTAGATGAAAACTTAATACGGTGATGATAATAATGTATCAATAAGGACTCACTATTAGTATTGCTTTTTGCTAAAAGAGAACCAAACAAACCATAAAGCCTAGCATATTCCTTGGAGTTGGGAAAGTATTCCCCTTTGTCGGATAAGTCTTATGAGTACATTGTGTACTGGGGTTTATTTACCCCATTGCGGTGGTGACGCTTGAGGAGTTCCTTGTGTGGAGGATCCATCTGGTGGGCTCGAGACGGAATCCTCGTTATCTTATCGCTAGATGTTATCTTTTAATATTCCGCTGTTTATCATTCCGCACTCTATATTTGGTATTGTAATAATGTACTTTTCAAGAAACTCTAATGTATGAGATAGACTTGTGTTGTAACTCGTTTTCATTATTGGATCCTTGGGAAAAATGTGGATCTTTCGGGTTCTCCCTTGGGGTGTGCTCGACGGACACCGCTCGCTGTAGTTACTTTCGAGGTGCTTAGTGTCTGATGGAAGACAAGCGCCTTCGTAAGTACGCTATTTCGGGTGGTTCTGCCACATAAGAGTACGACGTTGGTCACATCGTGAATAGGGACTACGATTATGCTCTAGGCGTCTGTCCCGCATCTAGACGTCACACGCTACGTGGTCTCATGGTGTCTACGTATTTTATTTATCATAAAAATATCATTTCCAGTTCCATCTCATCTCTCTCCTCCGCCTCTCCATTCAAAGCAATAGGGAGAGGAAGAATGTCAACACGCTCGACGCATGGCCGCTATGCTCCATTCACGCCTCCACTCGTCACCTTGGGTTCACGCAAGTGTGGAGACCGAGCCAGCGCCCTCTCTCCCTCTCCCATTTGCTCGCCCTCGCTCCGCTCGAGAGCGCAGGCACCAAGGGCCATGGCCGCCCGCCTAGCTTCCACGGCCACCGCTAGCTCCCGTGCCTCTGAGCGCTCTTCTCCATGCAACCTCCATCCAAACCTACCACCCCATCGGCTTCCTCACCCCACGCAACCGCCCCGCTGAGCTCCGCGCGTCACCGAGCTCCGCGCTGCCGGCATCTAAGTGTCGTCGCTGAGCTCTGCGTGCGCTGCCGTCGACGAGCCGCGTGTTGCCGGCGAGCTCTGCGCCGCTGAGATCCACGCCGTCGATGAGCTCCACACAGGCAACCTCCATGGCATCGTGCTTCGTGCCGGCATCGAGCTCCACGTCGACGAGCCTCGATTCGCCTAAGCAGCAAGAAGATGTTGCGCTGAAAAGCGCATGTTGCAGGCGTATGTTTCAAGTGTTTCAGGTGTTTCATATGCATGTTGCAAGTGTTTCATGTGGATATTGCAAAAGTAGATCGGGTGTTGTATATGTTGTAATGGCTATACACCTATATTTCAAGCGTATGTTCTAAATGTACGTATGTTGCACGTGTTTTATCTAGGTGTTGCATATGTTTCACACTTATGTTGCAAGTATTTTATCCAAGTATTGCATATGTTTTACACATATGTTACAAAGTGTTTTGTCTAGATGTTGCATATGTTTTACAATGGCTACACACGTGTTTTCCTCGTGTTTCAGACGTATGTTGCAAATGTTTCAACTGTTTTGAACGTATGTTGCAAATGTTTTCTCTAGATGTTGCAAAAATAGATCTGATGTTATATATGTTGCAAATATTTTCTGTAGATGTTGCAAATGTTTTCTCACATTAAGTAGGCGTAGGCGTGCAGGCGGGCGCAATAGCATGCCTAGGTGAAGTAGACGTGAACGCCCGGACGCTAGCCTTTCCAGAGCGATTAACGTACGTGTCAAGTGGGGGTGGATTTGGTGGTCGTGGACGCTAGCCTTTCCAGAGCGATTAACGTACGTGTCAAGTGGGGGTGGATATGGTGGTCGTGTGTGTGTTAAATAAACGCATCTAGTTCCTGAGCCAGGTTGGAGATCGAGGCATGGATTCCGCGGCGGAGGACTCGCGCAACGCGGATGGGGCCGGCGACGTCGACGACCTGATCAGCGGCCTGCACGATGACGTGCTCCTCCACATCCTCGAGGCGGTGGCTCGGGCTCTGGGCGCGCGTTCCCGCGCTCCGCTTCGCCTCTCGCCCGCCGGCGGTGTCGTCCACCACAGCGACCTAGCGGTGCGCAGCCTTGGAGCGGTACGTCTCCTTCGTCAACGGCGTCCTTTCCCGGCGTGGTAGTCGTACCCAATCCGGCTGCGCCGCCATCGAGAGCCTGGCGATCTCGTGTACCACGGGCTCCGAGCACCTGGAAGTCTGGAACAACTAATAATGCCGGCGTTGATCGATGCCGCGCAAGGGTGGATCCGGTACGTTTCTCAGCAGGGTCTGAAGCGCTTCATCCTGGATCTAGATTGCCATGACGTCAAGAGGGAGTACGCCGGCAAGCAGGGTTGGAAAAAGGAGCTCGTGGTAGTGCTTCTTGACGAGCTTGCTAGCCCTCCAAGGCTGCTGGAGACCATGCGTTTGGCATTAGGTGGCGTAAGGCTCCGGCTCCCCGCCGCCACCACCATGGAATTCGTATCGCTCAGGGATCTCTCGCTCGAAAGGATCACGATCGCTGACGGCGGAGGTCACCTCCTTGCCTGCCTCGTGTCGTCGGCGAGTTGCCCGCGCCTGCAGAAGCTGCGCTTGAACAAGGTTTGGCTTTCTGATGATTTCAAAGAAGAGTTGCGGCTCCAAGCCGACGTGCTCTCGGAGCTGTGGGTGGAGGAGGTCTATTCGGTGTCGCTGGAGCTGAGGACACACAGGCAAGTGCTTCCACAAGAAGGCGACTAGGATCTCCGCACCGAGGCTTGAACAAGTTGCGCTCTTCTTTCGCCTAGGCTGGCCGCCAGCTGGATGTCTTGAGATCGACGGGGACTCGCCGCCGTGCATGCGGAGACTCGAGCTCAGTCTGTGGTCACATCGCTGTCATGACAACCACTACGGCGAGGCCGAGAACCATGGTAGCACACTACTCCCTCCGTCCCATTAAGTTTGTCGTTTGAAAACCGTACCCCCCTCACAATCCCGCTTCCCGAGCGATAAACTCAATGGGACGGAGGGAGTACTCCTCAATCACTATAGCTCCATCACATGCGTTGATGTGACTCTTTATGATCGAAAGGTACATCTCATCTCTCAGGATCATATCGATCTATATATCTGACAAATATGGTACTAATCGCCAAATCCATGAAAGGACACATACTACATTTATCTTGGGGGTGTTTAGTCAGTGAAGATTCCATACTGTAGCATTTCGTTTGTATTTGTGAATTATTGTTTAAACATTGACTAATTAGGCTCAAAATATTCGTCTCGTAAAGTTAAAGCAAACTGTGCAATTAGTTTTTGATTTCGTCTACATTTAGTACTCCATGCATGTACCGTAAGTTTGATGTGATGGGGAATCTTCTTTTTGTATAGTGCACTTTTTAGGAGTTTGGAGTAACTAAACGAGGGCTTGAACTTTCAGATGATATATCAGATTTTATATCATTTGTGAGTTAAATATTAGCAAGTTTACGATCATTTTTCATAGGCAACTGCTCTGGTACTCCCTTTTTTAAAAAATGGCACGAATCTCAAAGCAGCTAATTAAAGAAAATAATTGTTTTATTATTTTGTATCTGGGTCCCGCCTGGGCTCAGCCCGTCCAAGCACAGCTCCGGGTCCAGCCCATCTGTGTCGCTCCGTTAGTACATCCGAGACGGTGTCGCCAGCAGTCGTCGCTCCGCGCTCGCTACTCCTCCGGTCGATCACATCCCGATCCCATTTCTTCGAGGTTTGCCACATGGATCACCAGTGTGGCGCCGCCGAAGCGGAAGAAGACGGCATGCCACCGGCCACCGCACCCCCATCGCCCCCACTGCGCCTCCTTCCCCCTCCGTCCGCGCCCCAACCGCACCACGCGCCACTAGTCGCCACGGCGCAGGGCACACCGGCCGAGGGAGGCAGCCGCCTGCGCCCCCATGGCCCCCACGCGCCACCGGCCGAGGGAGGCGCCCGCCCGCGCCCCGCCACGTCACCGGACGGTAGGCTTCTATCCGCGGCCCGCTCGCGCCAACGAGCCACCGGCGCCCTGTGATCCGGGAGCCACCAGGTTCGGCGGCTCCTCCCCCTTCTCCACCGATCCCATTTCGTTGTGCTGGCAGCGGCATGGAAGTTCGTCGCCAACTGCTACCTGTTTTCGAAGTGTGTGAGGATGACCAGCACGACGGTTGTGCCATGGACGGTGCCGCCAGCCCCGCCGATGAGGCAGGGGCCATCCACGGCGGACGAGAGGGCATGGAAACTAGGTATGCATCATGCTTTTGCATCCATTTTGTTGAGGTAGCACACATGGTTTGAAATTGTAAGGCTGAAGCTGAAATATCCTCTTATCAGGGATATGCTACATGAATCTGCCATGGACAACATCGGATATGTTGGATGTGAGCATCTTGGTGATCGCATCGAGGCCGGCGGAGTGGAAGGGTTGAACGACAACGGGTGCCCGCGCCAGTTCTCCCTCCATCGTGATGATGAAGTCCAGGTCCCCGAAGCTCACGTGTGCGCCTAGGACCCAGCTGATTCTGTGGCTAGCCATCCGCAGCCTAATGTTAATGTTGGAACGCGCAAAGCCCCCTACCTGGCTCGCCAACTGTCGGTGTTTCGAGTAAACACCAACGAATAAATTTGTGTTATTGTGCGTCTGACCCGGATGGTGTACTAAAAGACACAAGGTTTACACTGGTTCGGGCAGAATGTCTCTACGTCCAGTTCGTGGCTGCTGCTCGCGTTATTAGTGCGAGAGAGGGACGGGTCCTAAGTCTATGATGGAAAGGTCAAATGGGTGTCGAGAGCTTGGTTGCTGCTCAGCTATGTGTGATGTGTTGAATCGATTCCTTTAGTGGGGTGCCCTGCCTTCCTTTTTATAGACCAAGGGGAAGCAGAGATTATAGATGGGAGAAAGAAGAAAAATCAGAGACAAAGGAGGTCCTTCAAAGATGTTGGGTCTTCCTTTTCCTCTGAGCGAGCCCCGCTGACACGGCAGACGGTGCCAGGGATAGCTCCATGCTGGGTGCATGTCCGCTAATCCTGATAGGGCCGCGCTGGGTGTCTGTCCGCTGATGATGCCATGTTTTGGCTTTGTCATCAAGTGGTCATGTCCCATCCCTCCCCGGTGGGAGGCGCGACGGACTAGGGTGCTGATCCGTGACCCTACGGGGAACAGACGGCGCAGTGATCGCACGTCCATTACTGTAGATGATGCGAGTTTCCTCCTAGACCGTAGTGGTTGTCGTATGCTTCCGTCAAGATCCACGCCCGAGGGCAAATGGCGGCGCCCACAACACTATAAGACAAATATCGTTGCCTACAACACTGTTCGGGCTCTGACATGCCTGGAAGGGCTTAAAGCGCCCGTCTTGTCATATCCTGACGGTATTTTCCTGTAGGCATGCAGGGTATGGTCCTCGGTATTGCGGTTGACTTGAGTGCCCTGCCTTATCTGCCCGCGTAGTTATGAAGGAGCAGCGCGTAGACGTCGGGCGAGGCAGAGCCAGCCCCCGGACGGGGTCGGGCAAGACGGAGTCTGCCCTCAGACGTCGGGCGAGGCAGAGTCAGCCCTCGGGAGTCAGCTTGAGGCAGGGCCTATGGTCTCGGTGGATGGACGAGGAGTGACCCGGCAAGCGGTGTAGTCGCGCTCTCAATCGCGCGGATGAATCAATGTTGACGGTCATTAGCTCCTCCTCTTCGGGTACCCTAATATTGGTCCCCGACAAGAGGGCATGGAAACCAGGTATGCATCATGCTTTTGCATCCATTTTGTTGAGGTAGCACACATGGTTTGAAATTGTAAGGCTGAAGCTGAAATATCCTCTTATCAAGGATACGCTACATGAATCTGCCATGGACAACATCGAATATGCCGGATGTGAGGAGAATTTATTCTTCGATCTTGGGACCAGTGATGATAGTAGTTCTGAGGATGGTGATGATAGTAGGTTAGAGGATACGGATACCTCTATGAATACAAGTTGTCCATCGAAAGGCAACCATTCTGGCGGTGGCGAGGCCAACTATGGAAAGGTAAATCAATAACAATATCACTTTTTTGCAACTGGTGTCCAAGTTAGTAATGTATGATGTCAAGTATTGAGCGAAACATTATCCATTTTCATTAACAAGGAAATGTTGGGGGCAGGTACAAAAAAATGGATGAGTTCTGGAGCATAGCAAATAAAGACTTTTGCAAGTGAAGATGAGGCATTCACATTCTATAATAATTATGCGAGGGACAAGGGTTTCAGTGTTAGAAAGGAGAAAGTGAGACGTAGCAAGCAGTTAGGGGCAATTGTGTTCAGGCAGTTTGTGTGTTGTAGAGAAGGGGAGCGAGATGGAAAATGGCTGGACAATGAGGATTACAGCAGCAGACCACGAGCCCTAACTCGATGTGATTGCAGTGCATTACTTGATATTAGACTACACAGATCTCATGCAGTATGGTACGTGAATAATTTTGTGGATGAGCATAACCATCGCCTAGCTATGCCTGATGAAGTTCTATTCCTATGGTCTCACCGAAAGATTAAGGACTTCCATAGAAATGAGATCATGTCAATGGAAGCTGCTGGAATCCGTAAGCATGTCATAAGAGATGTTCTTCAATGCAGATATGGAGGATATGACAAAGTTGGCATTGTTACTAAGGATATTTACAACTATTGTTCTAAGAACAAGAGGTCAAGAATCGCAGAAGGTGATGCAAGGATAGTTCTAGGTCTCATGCTGAAGAGGAAGAACAGTGATCAGATTTTTATTTTGATTATAAAGTCGATGATGACACGTCTGATGAGCTTACTTTGGTGCGATACTCAATCTCGTATGGACTACCAATCATTTGGTGACGTGGTCGTCTTTGACAGCACTTATCGGATGAACAGGTATAAGATGTTATTTGTCCCATTTGTTGGGCTCAACCATCACCGCAACACAACCGTTTTCGGTTGTGGCATAATTTGTGATGAGCGAGCTGATTCGTATGTATGGGTGCTCCAAGCATTTCTGAAAGCAATGTGTTAGAAGAAACCACAATCAGTAATTACTGATGGCGATTACTCCATGATTAAAGCTATTCGGCAAGTGCTTCCTGGTGTAAGTCATCGCATCTGTTCATGGCATGTGGAGAAAAATATTCTCAAGCATTTGCATAGCAACTGCTTGGATGGGTTTCGCACACTTTTGTATTATGCTAGTTCAGAAACATTTGAAGCTAGATGGAATGCCTTTCTTTCCGAGTACGAGACTGCAACAAATAGATTGGCTTGCAATGATGTACAAGAATAGAAAACTATGGGCTGCTGCTTTTCAATGTGACAAGTTTTTCCTGGGTATGAAAAGTAACCAGAGAAGTGAAAGTCTCAATTCAAGTCTTCACAGGCACCTGGACATATATATGTCATTACTTGACTTGGTTGAGCACTATAAGAACTGCGTATCGCGCCTTTGTGAAACTGAGGTTGAATATGATTGCAGATCTTCACAGTCGCAGCCAGTGCATTTAACAAAACACAATGAGATTGAAGTGGCTTGTTCCCGTATATTTACGGCTGCTAACTTTTATATGTTGCAACATGAATTATTGAAGATTAATGATTATCATATACAGGACAGGATTATTGCTATGGATTCATCAAGATATTTTCTAGTACACAATGGGAAGAACAAATCAGTGTTTCTGGTGGACTACTGGTCTGATACTTCAGATGCAAGAATTGAAGCGTTAGAGAATAGATATTTATTTTGGTCAAGATCCAAATAGTTTGGTGGCTATGTTCTATTGAGTTCATTTGTTACCTTTATATAATGGTTTCTTAACTTTGTTTGAGACTCATGTCCTATTTTGGTTTAGAAATAAGATTAGGCTGAATGGTTTGTTAGGAGTTGGAACTCGAAGTTGCTGCTATTTGGTGGCAGATTTTATATTCTTCTATCTCGAAACGTTTCTACACTTATGATTATGATTTGCCTTCAACCTGTGCGTTTGAGGCTCCAAGTTTACGCTATTTGGTGACAAATTTTAAATTCTATCTGGAAACGTTTGTACACTTATTGATTATGCTTTGGCATCGGCCTGTGCATTTGAGAAAAGAATCTGCCATGATATTCCTGGAAAGCTGAGATGCTGCTGTATATGAGGCACTTTGAAAAAATAATGGAAAAAATAGCAAGGTTACTCTTTGAATTTGAAAAAAAAATAAGAGAAGAAAAGAAACTTGCTACAATTTCTGGCTCAGGTGTCACATACTATCGGCCTGTTCGCTTGTTGGTTTCAGCTAGAGCTTATCAGTCATGATACAATGTTTTTCTCTCGCAGTAAACCAGCACCAGCCGGGCTTATCAGCCCAGAAACCAATCAGTGAACAGGCTATATGATACTCACATGCACTTAGTTGCTAACACACAGCAGTAGATATACGAGTACACGTTGGACTAACTCAACAAACGGATTTCCATCGTTTACTGAGAGTCTGAGACTCTTTTCTTCCATTTACCACTACCTGCCTCTCTCTTACAACCACAGGTATGACTCATACACATGCAGGAACAAATGTTCAGGACGCAACAAGCATTCAGGATGCAGACCACAATCAGGCGCACAGGTACACTGACTCGCCTACAAACACATACCTTGTTCATCTACCAGCACTGCTCCCAGGATCCAGATGCTATACAGATGCATCAACTATGCCAGATCAAGTTTCCTTACCTCCAAAAAAAGGCTGGCCTGGGAATCTTCATCATCAACCCAGGAACTAATCCTCCACAAAATATCTACATCAAGGCAGCAATTGCAGACTCTGTCTCGGTGGTCATGGCAGAGGCAGCAGCCCTGGCGCTTGCCGCTGCTGTCACTGAGAGCCTGCATTTACACAACATCAACTTCCTATCTGACAATCAAGAACTTGTCAACTTCATCAATAACAGAGATAGGTCCACGCCACCTGACTGGAGGATCAAGCATCTCAGACAGAACTTCATCAACTCAACAATGCAGAGAAACACAAGTGTCTTCAAGATAAGAAGAAGCCAAAACTAAACTGCTCATACAACGTACGTCAAAACTATAAATATTTACATGTTGGTCACTTTCTGCACCAACAGTTGGCGCCGTCCATGGGGAAGACGCCGTACGTTCACGCTTTTGGTCATCGGATGGCCCACCTTTCCGCCATCTTCGCCATGGCGGGCTCAAGCGATACGACTCGCTTTGGCTCACTGGAGTTTCCCGCACTCCCACCTGTTGGGATGTGGGATCCTCCCATCTTCGAGTCGTCCCAGACCTTCCTCTTCGGAAGCCTGGACTTCGTCGCCGACCGGCTCGGCGTGCTTCGCCTTCGCGAGAAGGCACTTGTTCAGGCGCCCGTCGGAGGGGCGCCCTCCGTCGGCTCTGGGACTCCCGGTGACTTCAACGGCGAGGCGCCTGCGCTTCGTTCCGAGCATATGCTCTGCTCAAACCCCGCTATGAGTAACATACATACTGTTATTTACTCGCTATTTACTACTTTCCGCCGATTATCCGGAGGGACCCCGTTGTCCGCACCGCAACCACCGTACGACCGGTTCCCCTACGACCTCGCGTCCCCCGCGGACGCGTATGCCCAGGGGCTCCGAAAGATGCTGACGCCACCCCCTCTCACATCTGAATTCGTGGGGATGGCGAGCTACGCTCCCACCTCTTTCCACCAACTCGTGGATGACGAGGATGAGAGCGACGGCTCTAGCATCGGCGATGTGGGCGATGTGGCACCTAGCCACCGTCTGTCCTAGGAGTGCGCTATGACGGACGCTCCGGGACAGCCGCCGATGGTAGCGGAGTCTTTACAGACACATACCCTCTGGACCCTCGTGCGGAGGCCCTCGCTTGTGCGCGGGAGCACGGCGAAGAACTATGACAAAGGCGGCAGAACCAGCCGCCACCTGCGCCGGCGCACTCGACACAACACGCTGCGCCCCGTGCGTGTAACCCGACGAGCGGCGCCTGGGGTCACACCCGCCAGGTTCAGCGCAACATCATCTACGGGGGGAACGATCCCCCACAGTTCGCTCGGGCCGGCCAGAACATCACTGCGGCGGTGATGCTTCTGCGCAGCCTTCCCGAGCCTATCGATCCATAGGAGCAGGCAGTCCACTGGAACCTCCGGGCACTGGTAGAGACCACCGCCGTTCAATAGGCGGAAAGCTCGGCGTCGCGACACCGATTCGTGGCCTCTCTCCCCACTAGGGGAGCGGGGATGCGCCAGACGAATCACTCCATCAGTTCACCTCTACAGCCGCTAGGCGCGGAGCAGGAGGCCGCAGCTGTGCCACGGCCTGACCTAGCGCCCGCTCCACACCGGCCCCTTGTGCGCGAACCCCTCAGGCCAAACCGAGATGCTCGTAGCGTCATCAGCAACTGGCATCGGGCCCGGCATGATGATGACGTCCATCGAGCGGCAGTGAGGGCAGGCGACATGGACCCCGGCCATACCATCGAGGGGAGCGGTGAAACGTACCCCAGGCATGGTCGCCGGCCAGACGACTGGAGTCCTAGCCTGGATGGCCCGGGACCACGGGCCTTTGGCTGACGCATCCAGAGAGCGCTGTTCCTACAGCGCTTCCGACCGCCTACCAACATAGCCAAGTACACCGGGGAGACGAACCCCGGTACATGGCTCGAAGACTTCCGGCTCGCTTGCCGAGCTGGAGGAGTGGATGATGACCACTTCATCATTTAGTATCTCCCCATCTGCGTGGGGGAATATGTTCGAGCGTGGCTTGAATTCCTCCCGCACGATAGCATCCGTGACTGGGTGGACCTCAAGAGGATCTTCGTTGGGAATTTCTAGGGGACGTATGTCCACCCTGGGAACTCCTGGGACCTCAAGAGCTGCCAGCAGGAGCCCAACGAGTCCCTACGGGATTACATCCATAGGTTCTCGAAGCGGTGCAACTCCCTACCTGATGTCGTCGACGCGGACGTCATCAGCGCATTCCTTTCTAGGACAACCTGTGAGTCCCTGATCCACAAGCTTGGCTGCATGAAGCCCCGTACCACCCGCGACCTGCTCGACGTCGCTATGAACCATGCCTCCGGCGAGGAGGCGGTAGGAGCGGTCTTCAACGGTGGCCGGGACAAAGGCAAGGCCAAGCGTGAGGACCAAGATGAGGGCCCCTCCACACAGAGGGGCAAAAAGAATAAAAAGGATCATCGCCGACCAGCCAACTCCACGTTGGTCGCCGCGACTGATCGCACGGGGAAGCAGCCCCAGTAGGGCCTGCTTGACCACTTCGACAAGCTCATGGATAGCTCCTGCACCAACCATGCTTACCCCGTCAAACACCTCTACAAGGACTACGAGCTCCTCATGCGCTTCCTGCGATAGGCCGGCGGGCCGAAAGAAGGAAAGGGCAAGGAGGCAGCGGCCAAGAAAGGAGGCGAGGCGGGCAAGGATGGGGACGGCGTTCCTAACCTCAAGGAATGCATCATGATCTTCGGGGGACCCGATGCCATCCACTCCAAGGGCCAGCACAAGGTGCGCTACAGAGAGGCATGCGTCGCCAAAACAGTCGTTCCCTCCTTCCTTCGCTGGTTGGAATCTCTGATCACCTTTGACCAGAGGGACCACCCCTCCCACGTCGCTAGACTAGGTCGCTACCCACTCGTTGTTGACCCCATCGTCCGCAAGAAGCGCCTCACCAAGGTGATGATGGACAGAGGTAGCGGCCTCAACATTCTCTATGTCGACACCCTCAACGCCATGTGCATCCCCCGGTCGGAGCTCCACCCGGCAAGCTCTCCCTTCCACGGCATGATCCCGGGAGCGCAGGCATACCCGCTCGGGCAGATCGACCAGCCCGTCACATTTGGCAACCGAGCCAACTTCCGCTCGGAGGTCCTAACCTTCGAGGTGGTGGACTTCTCGGTGTCTTACCACGCCATCTTGGGGCGGCCATGCTACCCCAAGTTCATGGCGGTCCCCAACTACACCTACCTGAAGCTAAAAATGCCAGGACCGAATGGCGTCATCACTATGGGTAGCACCGTCTCACACGCCTTCATGTGCTATAGCGAGCATTTCGAGCTCGCCACTGCCATCATCAACTCATCCGAGCTCCTATGGCTCGGGGAGTTGTCGACCCCAGCAGTCTCGGACTGCAACAAACTAACCTCCTCGATGGCCTTTCGCCCACTCGAGGAAACTAAGGTGGTGCGGATCGGGACCCAGCTCCCGGCCAAATAGGAATGCGAGCTCGTCGACTTCCTATGACCCAATCGCGATGTCTTATCATGGAAACCATCTGACATGCCGAGCATACCGCGGGACATCGCCGAGCACGCACTACGCCTCATCCCAGGCTTGAAGCTCACCAAGCAGCGCCTGCATCGCTTCGACAACGAGAGGCGCAGGGCCATAGGCGAAGAGATCACCAAACTCCTGGCAGCCGGATTCATTAGAGAGGTATACCACTCTGACTGGCTTGCCAATCCTATTCTTGTTAAAAAGAAGACCAGGAAATGGAGAATGTACGTTGATTATACTGGCCTCAACAAATTGTGCTCGAAGGATCATTTTCCTTTGTTGCGCATAGACCAGATAGTCAACTCTACCTCGGGATGCAAGATCCTCTCCTTTCTAGATGCCAACTCAGGCTATCACCAGATCATGATGAAAGAATCCGATCAACTCGCAACCTTATTCATCACCCCGTATGGTTCGTACTGCTACGTAACCATGCCTTTTGGCCTAAAGAATGCTGGCGCCACCTATCAACGGTGCA